TCTGATATCTGAGATGACGGTACTGCTGCTGAAGCTCCACAGAAATTTTATCAGCACGCAGACCAGCAGTGAGAAGTTCGGCATCCTTTCTTTGCCTGCTTCAGGTGTCAACTGTCATGGTTGCTAGGGAACGCTGAGTAAGGGGTGGTGGAGGCCAGAGAAGGCTGGACCTTCTTGAATCCATAACCAAACTCTTCTGGCCTCCTTATATTGATGGACTTTGAAGAACCAGTGCAGGTAGATCATGTCTTTGGAGGAGGCAGCCTCTGAAATCTAACACACCCCATCAGTTGCTAAAATGTTGTTTTTAATGGAACTGCAACAAAAGGTTCAGTCAGCAGTTCTATTCTTCTTAATTTTCTTGTTCAAAGGTGGTTGGCAAAAAACCTTCAGGTTCCTCATTACTGCCACACACTGGGAAGGAGTGTAACAGCTTCTTCAGGGGTTGTAAAATAGTAGTTTGTAGTTGGAAGTTTTGGATTTATACTTGTAAAATTAGTTGTAATCATATTTTCTAAACTTTTCTAAATTTTTACAGAGAAACCATCTGATGTTATCAAATATAAATCTTAAATAGATTCCTGTTTAATAAAAAACATTAAAAATTAAAAACATATTTTTATTGACATTTATTTTAGCCTATATCAGCATAGGTTAAAATAAACGCAGGAAGCAGGAAGAGCGTCACACCATGAGGGGGATGTTTAAGGCTGAATCTAAAGGCCACTGAAGCTAAAGGATCTGCTGCTAATGGCGCTGGTCCAACCGTGAAGGTTTCCCTATCACTATGTGTTTTTGGACCAGTGCCCTGGTTTCAGGCTCCATCTAAGCTCCTTATTACCCACACCTGCTGTTTCTAACCATAGCTGAGCCGTCAGTGCAGCTAAGGTTTCATTTGGCCGACATGCCTCTGCGGCGCTTCGTTCTAAGTCTGAACATCCATGTTGGTGCTACACTCTAAAACCTCTATCTATAATCACCTTTTATTGAATGTTTTAATGATGCCTGCAGAAGCATGTCAGCTGCTAGCCTCTCATGGTTTAGTGAAGAAGGTTTTCATCAAATATTCTGCTATTTCTGGTCCTAAACCAGAAATTTGCTTGGACATGGTGTCAGTGTTTGTTTGAGGTATTTCCAGTTTTGTTTGTGACAATAGCACCATTAATATGTGGATCAATCCCCCCCACCATTGCTGTAGGGAATGTTTCACACTAAGATCTGTAAACCTAATGCAAAACGTTTCCTTCTTAGCAGACTTACAGGACAGACTGAACATTAACGCTTTTATCAAGTCTGTTTTAGGTCAAACTTTATATTCTGGCTGTTTTTGGTTACGCTCCTGCTTTTGACTTCCAATAACTGGAGGACAGTCTCTCTCTATGTGTGAAAACAGGCCTGATCTGATCCTTTCCTAGTGAAATCTGTGGAATCAACCGGTGTCCATCCCAAGAGGTCAGAAGGACAGGACTCTGCACACAAACATCACATTTTCCAGTGATGGTGTCGTTCTGTTTGCAACCCACTCTGGGTCGGTGGGTCCGGTTTCCTGTCTGCAGACGGCCACCCTTCCTTTAGTGTCCAAACCTGCCGTCTGTCAGCGGTAGAGTTGGACCGTTTGATTGAAGCTAAGCTTTAGGCTGACCTATTGTATTCTCAGTAGATGGACAGAACACATTCTTCTTTTACGGTGCAACAATAACCATGTAATAACATAATAATAACATGTAATAACATGATAATAACATAGCAAACTACACTATATTACAATGTAACAAAAAAAAAACTTGGTTTAGTGCTGTGCTTCAGATTTTAGGCAGACAAGGTAAAGTCAGATTTCTTAGATTTCAAACCGTTATTACCAGGTAACTCATATTCATTTCAAAGACTGCAATACATTAATGTGTTATTATCTGGTAAAATCCAGTTTATCACTTGGTATATAACAGAAAACCAAACCTAGAAGACAGCAAGTCGATCTTCTTAACTTAACTCTTATTTACATGCAGTGTTGTATAGTAACAAAGTAAAAACACTTCACTACTGTACTTAAGTATATTTTGGAGTAAAAATATGGATTTTTTTGAGAACTTTCACTTTCACTTCACTACATTTACAAACTTAATTGCATACTTTTACTCCGATACATTTTCAATGTTTGGTTTAGTTACTAAGTAATAACAAATAAAAAATAAAAACGAGCGAGAGAAACGCAAGTGCTTTTACCCCACCTACTGACTACTAAGCCGGGTCTTGCCTGGGCTTGTTCATCAACACCAAGACGATATAGATTGGTCACTAGACACTATTGTGAAATCTTCAGCATAACGTTATCTGTATAAATTAATTTTGTTTGGCATTTTTTTCAGTTCCACACGTGGTGTATTCAGCCTAAGCTAAATGTTGACTGTAGCAGGCTTTTGAAGATGAACAGATTTTACAGTTTCAAGTGATAATGGGGTTATGTGCGAGGACGACCACAAGGGGTGGTTAAGATTTGGAGGGGAAGAAAAAAGTCAAGGGCAAAAGTGTGGAGGGGATGAGGGGCTTGTGTTTACAAAGTGTTAATATTTAGTTTATTGGCCTGAAGTGCATCTGTTTTTCTCTGGTGTGATGTACACTTAATTTCAGCACTGCCTTTTTTTACATTTTAAGGTAGGTTTACAAAAAATGTCTTCCTCTTCAGACGCCAAAT